GTTTATTACCATGAAGTAGTGCAATACTGGGAGAGGCTTCTGTCTCGCTCCAATTTTATTATGAATTAGGGTAATGGGGAAGGGAAGGAGTCTTTATAGAGAAGATAGAAAAGAAGAAGCAAGGAGTCTTTATAGGAAGCAAGAGGGACATAGTCACCACCATGGATCCAGCGAGGTTCGTAGTTCAGTCTTTGATCTTCAGTAGTGGTGGGTTGTCAGGCATTGTTGTTCTATTGACGACGAAGGACGACGAGGACCATGGCGATGATGGCCCCTTTTCAATGCTTTCAAAGTGGTTGAGTCAGCTGTCTTTGGAGTGACAGCTCAAATCCAAAGTGGTTGAGTCAGCTCTCCTTTGAGTGGCAGCTTATGGCTCTGGGATCTCAGCAGAAACTCCTTTGTACCCATCTTCTGGACCTTGCCAGCAGATAAGAGGGAGTAGGGATGCCCATCTGCATCCTGTTTCTCACAGAACACGATGGTATCGTTCCCCAGTTTTCCCACACCTAGCTGGAGCTGTTTTGTCACAGGCCAGATCTTCCGCCAGTAAACACTCCTGAGCACTCTCATCCACTCTTCTACAGAGCAAGCAGCTCTGGAGGAAGGGGCTTTCAAATGTTCCCAAAGCGATATCCATTGTGACATGATTAGCACCCATTAGTTGCCTTCTCAACAAATCACTCAGAGTCTTATCACAAGAAATACCTCAGGAAGCAAGCTTTGAGCCAAAAAACAAAGAAGGATTCTCACAGCTTCCCAGAAAGACTATGGAATCTCCATATTTGAAGGTTCCCCTCCCATCTCCGACTCTTGATCCATGTTTCGATGAAATTTGCTTACTGTTTCGCAGGACCTTCATGAAGATCTGTTTAATTTCTCTGGAGAATACAGAGAGGTTGCACTAGTGAGGACTGCTGAATACTTCTCCCTTTATGGAGGTCTTCACTGGCTATGACTGCAGGTTAAACTGCCCATATCCAGAAACAGAGAAAACCTGGCCTAGAATTTCAATTTTGAAAATTTCACTTTTGATGTTTCCGCCATAAGCATCAACATGTGAACAACAACAAAGACTAATTTCTGAGGTATAAGAGAAGTTACTGTGGTCTTAAATCTGTGACTCTTTCTGCATGGATCTAATTTTGCCTTGAGAAAAGGCAGATGTGAGCTCTGTGCTGGGCTCAGGGTTTTGGTACTGTGGCACAGTGATATTTGTTTGAGTTATTATGAGCTTCACAATAGAGATTGTGATTCCTTGGATGACTGAAACTTCACATAGCCAGACAACTAGAATTTTTTTTTTATATATAGGCATAGCTAATGTTTGGCTTTAAAATAGCCCTTATCAAAATGTAAAATGAAGAACATCTTAACCTTATTAACCCAGGCCTGTTTTTAAATGTGAGAGTCGGAGTAGGCAAAGTTTATGTGGGAAGACAACTTGAAAATGCAAGATTCAGTCAAGTAATAATTGAAAAACAAACTGTCAAGGAGTGATCATTATTTCATACCAACATGTGTATCATTAACCAGCTGCACTAGCAGATAGTATGCCAGCAGCAAACTGTCAAATTAGATAGGACCAATTAAACCTCATTACTTTGTGAGGCACGACTTCCTAAAGAGCCACTGTGTAACTGTTTGCAGAAACTTGACAGTTCTTACAACTGAAGCTAAATGAAAACAGGAGACTTGAGTTCTCCTTAATATCAGTTACAGAAATCAACATTGTTTTCTTTTCAAGATGTATAAACGTGATACATCTGATAAGAACAATTTGTGATCTGTGTTTATATTAGTGCTGACAGAAAAAATGTGTTTCTTCAGTAAATGTGCTGAAGAGAAAAATGAAGCAAGTGACCACATTTTAGTGCATTCAGAACTTGAACTTATGCTTATATGCCTATGTATGATTTTAGGCTGCTGTTGTAAAAAAGTTTCTTTTAAGCCAATCATTGGTATTCAAACAGAAGGTTAAATTACAGATACCTGGGATTAATAAGAATTTTATTTAGACAAACTTCCCACCAGTGTGACTATAGTTTCCAAAGCTGAATTTTTAAAATTACACTCCTTAACCCACAGCAGGTCTCCTAGTTAAAAACATGACTTGGCCCTCAGATATCAAGCAACATAGCATTTCTTTCAAGTGTCTGCCAAATCAAAGTATGAAGTAAAGATGAAAATATTTTTGTTTTGGATCCTAAGCATAGATTTAGAGACTTTATTTCCTGTCATTCCAGTGTAACGGACTTCAGCCTCTACAACACCCATCTCCAACACTGTGGCCAACATAACAATAGAGGAGGCACTACATTCAGGGGAGTTCTGCTACATAAATTTTGCTGTTTTTCTCTCAATCCCCACATGCTGTACATGGTCATGAAAGTTTTGGGGGCTTAATGAACAAGATGAGATTGTATCCTTTCTTTACTGAGATCTTAGAGCTGAAGTATTATCTTTGAAGTTTTGCAATGTCAAAAATTCTATGAAAGATGGCTCATCTCTTTATAATAGAATTTATTTTCTCACTGTTCTCTGTTTGGGAGTGCTTTTCAGATAGGTAACTATTATGAGAAAACTAAAGTAAATCTTGAGTACGTCTAAAAACTGTGAAATATGAAATGCAGGGCAATCAGGAACTGAACCCCCTTGTACAATGGTTGACTGACGCATGAATGCTAGTTCTGTCAGGACACAATACGAATCATAGATCTTCCATCTGGATAATTTGACAAATCCATTGGTAATCTGTAATTTCCATAGCAAGTTTTGGAAATGAATATATTTACCTTCAAATTATGCAAATTATTATATTGAAGACTCCTGACTTACAGGTCTCAAAATCTATCTGCAATATAAATGAGAATGAAGGCTCTGCCAAACAGGATAACAGAGATAAGGCAAACATTTTGGAGAAAAGAAATGTAGGGAAGATTTTGCCAGGCTGAGCACAGTGTATCTTCTGTACGTCCTCTTTCCCTGCTGAGAGACTGCTGAATTAAGGGATGGAGCTTTCAGACCTTTTAGTCCTGTTCACAGAATCACAGCATGGCTCAGGTTGGAAGGGACCTCACAGATCATGAATCTCCAATCCCCCACCACTCTTTTGGAAAAATCTGACTGCAACCACGCATGCCTTCAGTATATACTCTAGGTATGTTCTTAAACCTAAAACCTCCCCCATAGCTTCCCTGTAGCTACCTGATACTTATATAGGATATAGCATATTAATTCCAATACTATCAGGGTTAGGAACAAATCTTTTTTGTGCTTCAGCAAAAATATGCTAACTTTGGGAAACAAGGAAAGTATCTATATAAAGGAACTGGGTGTATATGTTGCTCTCACAAATGTCAAATATATGGTAGGCCAAGTAGCATCACTGAGAAGGAGAGGTGTTCCCCATAGCTCTCTTACCATGAACCTGGCTGTCAAGCTTAGTGCTGGGTAGAACTCTACAATCCAAAGGTAGTTTCTATCTCAGGTAATATATAGAGCAAAGTAGCTGTATTTGGCACAAAATCTCATTTTCAATTAATACTTGCTTAGGCATTGCTTTATGACCCTTATGGAGCATAACACTCCTCTCAATCGACTGGCTTTGTCCCATGGTCTTAGCTCTGATTGGAGTAGAGATGTGTTCACATGAATATGGCAGCCAAGAAAATTAGCTTCATCAGCAGTTAGCTTTATCCTTTTAGATTATCTGTATTTGAAGCCATGTAATGTTTAACAGAGGAAAACAGCAGTGTGAGTAAAGCAACAAGAACGAGCACAATCCATGCAAGTGCAGGAGCTTCTGAATGCAATGTAAGTACCCAGATATCTTTACTTTAAAGACTTTGATGCAGCTGTATGACATTTAGCTAGTGAGTCATGAAGCACATCTACTTTCAAAGGTGAAACTTGGTTTCTAAGCACTCAAATGACAGCAGAATTTAATTTCCAAGAGATACTGAATAGCAAATCGTGGAGATACATTACAGCAGGTCTACAAGAAAAACTCTGCTATGAATATATATCCAAAACACCTCTTTCAAATCTAGAAGAAATCATCTTACTTAAGGAGAGGAAAAATATTCTGACTTTCCAACAGTCATTCTGTTTTGATGTCATTACTGAGGTTCTCTAAAGTTTCTGATGTGATAGCTAAAGCTCCGAGGTAAATGAGGTGTCTTATTTACACCAGTGTGGTGTAAATAATAAGTAGGATATATAAACTTAGGTTTGCTGAGAGGAGGGTTCCCTAGTCATACAAATTTTAGACAGACAGGATAGGCCATGCCTACTCTGGTGGCCTCACCATCTATCAGTGTTGCGGGGTTGGAAAAATAGAGGAACCCATCTGGAAGACATGCATTAGTTGAGTGATGGTTTAAAATAAAGCAGTGTATTCTGATCTAATCAGATGTTAAAGCAGGAAAATGTTCTTAGTGCGCTTGTGATTACTCACTTTGTGTGTCAAAATGAATCAGGAATGAGAAAGATGATGTTTTGACTATTGTAAATCTTTATTGTTTTCCACTGACATAGCTCTGTCATTTGACGTAAACCTCTTACAATCACAAATATCATATCTCATATGAGAGCTCTTAGAGGTAAACACACAAGACGTCAGAGTTGTTTCTGATGTGTCACCACATCATAAAATGGATCTACAGTGACATGAAAAAAAAAAGCAATAAACCTTTTAATTTACTCTCTCCCTCTGAATCATGTTTTCCTTTAATAATCACATGCTACTCTCTTGACAAGCACCCAGTAACAAGGGACTTGTGTAGCTGGAGGAAAGCAGAACTGAAGCGGGCAGTAATTGATATGAATTACATCTGAGATCAAAGCAGGAGTGTTTCAAAACTATGTCATAATAAAGGAGCAGGCCAGGAGATTAACAGTGTTAGTAACTTCTGTAGGCAGCAGCAGATATAAATAAAAGATGAGATGTTCACATGCCATTCTCCAGAGTCCAACACAATTTATTTTTGTCCACACAGTAGTTGAAAAGTATGATGAAGGCCATCCTCCTGCTATACTTGCTGCTTGCCATCCTTTACCCTGCAGTCCCCAGCATGAGACAGACTGACCATCACAATGAAGAACCCAAGGTAACTCACCTCCATGAGCAGCATCCTCATGAGGAAGATTCTCTTGCTTTCTGCCAGCATATAATACCCAGCAACACAGACTTTGCCTTCAGGTTTTACAGGCAAGCAACTGTCCAAGCACCTGGCAAGAATATTTTCTTCTCCCCAGTCAGTGTCTCTGCTGCCTTTGCCCTGCTGGCCCTCGGCTCCAGAGCCACAACCCAGGCTCAGCTGCTGGAGGGGCTGGCCTTTAATCTCACCAACAACAGGGAGGAGGAGATACACCATGGCTTTCATCATCTCCTTCTCTTGCTGAACCGTCCTGGCAGCCAGGTGGAGCTGAGCATGGGAAATACCTTGTTTATGGACAAACACCTGAAGCCACTGACAGCATTTCTGAAGGACATAAAAAAACTGTACAAAGCAGAAATTATTTCTAGTAACATTCAGAATTCTACTGAGGCTAAAAAAGAGATCAATGATCATATAAAAAACAAAACCCATGGGAAGATAAATCAAATACTGAAAGACCTCAATCCAAACTCTTTAATGGTACTCGTTAACTATATTTATTTCAAAGGTAAGTTGAGTCATACAAATCTTACTGCAATATTCAAGTTTGCCTTGGACTGGAAAAAAATCCCAGACTATTTCTCAATTGTTTTTAAAAGAAGGACAGTGTTAAAACTATAAGAAACATTGCAAGTTCTCATGCTCTGAAACCTCTTAATACATCTATAGTTTTCTGGCATATTTTTAGGTTTATAAGCACAAAAATTCACTTATTTGCAAATTTCAGGTTTTATGGACTTTCCAGAGCGCAGCAAATTCATGCATTTGTGGATTTTTCTATCAGACTTTTGTTTTATAGCAAAAATTATTCTGCCGTATGTCTATATCCTATATGAAGAAACAAAATAAATTCCAAAGATTATAAAAAATGACAAAACTTTAGTTTACCTACAATCCAGGCTTCTTAAATGGGTACATATCTATGGAGTTGGGCTCTAAGCATTCCACAGCCAGTCATCACATTGCATATATACACCAGCAGGTACTTCAGAATGTGCTGCTTTAGCAACGATGAACTTCGTAAAGGTAATGTCCATTTGTAGCAGTGTGCAGGACATACATTGAATTATCCACCCAGGAAGTTGGTAATAGGTGGAAATAGAACAGGATTCAGTAAAATAGCTTTCACTTCAGGTACTCTATTAAATCTAGGTACCGTAGTCAGAAGGTACATTCCTTATGGTGGGACAGGAAAGAGTTCAAACTTATAAAGTAGTTAAAGTACTTCAGTGTTTATATTCTACTACTTATTTTTCAATTTTATTTTGTTTCTGTTCAATATTTAAAAAACAAGCGCACTTAGTTCTGAAATGACAAACTATCATCTGTTTGTATTTGTTCAGCAAATGACTTAATACAAGTAGAATACCATTAAAAAGTCATTTGAATAAGGGTGGAAGGTTAAAGGTTTAGAAGCTCCGTTCCACTTACTGTAATGAAGTCATTATCAAACCCAAAAGTTCAGGTTGTTCTTTCATTGAATTTTTTCCTTAGTGCTACCAGATGAGGAACAGATGAGAAAGAATAGAAGGAACTTAACATGCCACTTTTAAAAAGTCATCTGCTGTGGAATTTGCTTAACAAGCAAAGTGGTTGCAAATTAACTCACTGGATCCTGGCTAGGCACTTCTTTTTCTTCAGATTTTTCCTCTTCTTCAAATAAATTTAAGATAACATCATGAAGTTATCTCATTTGATTTATCTGACTTGCAACACCTTTCTGGAGTTTAATCTTGGATATTCGTTACTTGAACATATTAGAGCAGTGATGATATGGACCTTGAATAAATTTTGAATTCCTCTAATCTTCAGTTATGAGCATAAATCTTTAGATATGGATGTATTTGGTGTAAATTAGACTAGATTATACTTATGTATCCTCCTTAAAATAAGCATGCAACTGTGTTCTTTTCCTTTTACTTTTAAGCCTACTGGGAAAATCCTTTCAATATGAAGGGGACTCACACGGATTATTTCTATGTGAATGCAAAGACCTTGGTTGAAGTGAAGATGATGGTTCGAGATAGCTTTTATGACATATATTCTGACAAGAAGATGTCATGCAAGGTGGTGAGGATTCCTTACAAGGGAAATGTTTCAGCATTGTTCATTCTGCCCAATGAAGGAAAAATGAAATGGCTGGAGGATGGTCTGATGAAAGACACGCTGTCTAAATGGGAAAAATCACTTGAAAGACGGTAAATTCTAATTTGATGCTTTGCAGTAGTCAGAACCTGAGGTCTAAACACTGAAGTCAATTTTTAGAGTTATAAGGTTTTGTTTTTCATTCGAGGTTTAAGTAATGGAACTGGCATAAATGAACAGACTAAACAATTTGATTTGACATTCAGCAGCAATTTGAAGTAGCACTGCTTTGTCATGAGGGAAAAAAATTTGTGAGCTGGGAAGCAGCTTCTCTTTCTGTACACTTTTTAGTTGATCTTCAGTATCTTCATTTTTTTTCTCAAATATAATATGTTAACAGTGGTACTACTGTGACATAGAAACATGATCCCGTAGAGAGAATGGGGTATGATTTAAGAAAAATAAATAAATCTTGAGGACTAGCAAATGAATGCAAATGTACCCACAAGGGTGCTAGCACTACCACTGCTTGTTGTCTATTCAAGGGGTGATTGTAAGACTGGAAACAAGCTCTATGTCTTCCTCATATTACATTTTCCCATCATCCTGACCATTGTCTTCCCACCTTTTTGCTCTCATTTTTTCTATATTTGAAGACTAACATTTTAGCACAGAATTACCAGCAAGTTGGGAGACTTCAAGTTGTACCTTGATCGTAATAACCACCATAAATCTCTTTTAAATTAATAGGAGGATGGAAGTGCATATTCCAAAAGTATCCATTTCTGGCACCTATGACTTAAAGAAGATATTCATGAATCTGGGTGTAATAGATGTGTTTTCTGACCAGGCTAATCTGTCTGGAATCACAGGAAAGTCTGATCTGAAGGTTTCAAGAGTAAGTTGGTCAACAGAAAAGTCTGTCAATTCATCAACTGCCTTAATTTAAGCTATGTTCCAGAATAATTCTTAGTCCTGGGAATGATTGATAACAGTGAATTTAAACACTTCAACTTTTAGAGCAACTTTAAATTCTTTCAGACTTATTCAGGATCTGAAAATAAAAATACTGCCTTCCTTCCGGCACCCTGAAGTTGTGGCAAAGACTGGGAGGCTTATATAAATTTTTCCAGGAACAAAATATTTTCAGCATGCAAGAGGAGACACCATCTTTTGGAGCTGCATTGCATGAGCATGTCTAGTATGAAAAGTGGCACCTTTTCTTTAATACATGCATGTGATTCTATAATTTTAAAGGACTTTCAAACTATTTCCACGGAAGGCACTGGCAAGTGCTAATCATATAAGAGGGACCAAGCTACAGGAAAGCATCCCGTTTCTTGGGAAGAACAGATAATACAGAGATAAATTTTTTTTATCTCTGTAAATAATAAACACTCTTATGGGCATTGCAAATGCAGTAACTATAACATTATAATATCTTGGTTTAATGAAACAAATGTTGAAAATGCAAAAATAAATTTTTGTATGGATATTTATTTTCTACTGACAAAAGTTTAATCCATGAGGCATTAAATATACAGACAGAACAGCTCTGAAATTTTACTTTTTTTCCTTCTGAAGTAGTAATCCCTGCTCTGAATTCAAGTGTTCTGCCCTGACACACATGGTGAAAAATACTGAGTGGAACAAACTCATGGAGGCAACATTGCTAGAACACCTACCATGGACTAAATTTCCTTCTTCTTAGCTTGTGACCTACCAGTCATTTCTTTGAAAGACAGGAGGTGAATTAACTTTGTGCCAGTTTTAGTCATTCCACTCCCATACTGTGTGTACAGTAATGCTTGCTGTGTTTCCTTGTAGGCTATTCACGAGGCTCTGCTGAACATTCACGAGAATGGCACAGAGGCTGCAGCAGTCACTGGCACAGAGTTTGCTCCTCATTCTGTTCCTCCTGTTATAAAGTTCAACCGTCCATTTTTGCTGTTGATTGTTGATCAATACACTCAAAGTATCCTCTTCATAGGAAAAATTGTAAACCCACTGAAAAATGATTGATCAATGGCAAGTCTTATTGATTTGATTTGCATGTATCATTAATAGTCTGATGTAATTAAAATTATATCAAATCTTTTAGTAATAATTTTATTTTTTCTAAAAATAATTAAGGCAGGAATGTAGTCATTCTTAAAATCACCATCCTTGCTCTCTCCAGTAGAAAACAACTACCATGACTTATGAAGCAGTGTATACATCAGCCTTCTAATGACTAATACATGCTATCATTGAAAAATAAGGTAAGTATCCAGCTGAGAGAAGCAGTTTAAAACATATTCAGTATGTAATGAATGAAAAAGCAGGCTGTTACTGAGTAGTGAATAGGAAACTAGGAAAATCCTGTTGTTTTCTCCAGCTGTCTGTAGTACTTACCAGGTCCTGGTCCTGGAGAGGTGATGTGGAAATTTAGAATATAAATGCAGTCCACCTAGGGATATCTTAGGTTTTCTCTTCCACGTAGATCTTATTGATGGGAAAAGGTCATGTATTTGCATGAGAAAATGATTGCTTGGCACTCTGAGGATGTCTGTACAAATCTGACATCTCCTTATGCACCCCGATGGATCCAAGGTAGTGTCAAAATTCAGAGTCAAATCTTGGCACTTGTGAGGGGCTGGAGCACCAAGAAAAGAAACACCTGCTAACAAACACAGCCAGACTTTTGTGATATCAGCCTGACTCCATCTCTGGATTCAGCAACAGCAACTATTTGAGAAATGTTAAATACAGTTATCTTTCTCAGTGTATTGTTCCTCATTGTCTTAAAGTTTTACTCTACTGATCATGAAGGCAATTTGAAATTAGAACAAGTTCCTCTGTGGAACCTAACCTTTGTAAGGCAACTGCTACTCATCACACCGATCTTCGTAATCAGAGCATTTGACTTAGTTACAGGATATTCAAGAATATTCATGTTTGCAATCCTCCCTTGCATGAAGACAGAAAATCCTATGTCTCCAACATTCAAATTAAGCTGAAACTGCAAGAGAAGAGTTAGCATTAGATCTGGAGTGCTGTTAAGGATATTTTCCTGGAGGATAGAAATCCATGTCTGCTCCTCCCTGAGCGGAGGATGGCTTAATGTTGAGTTTGCCAAATAAATCCTGATGAACACTACAAAGAGTGCTGTTGAATGGATGGTGGATGAAGCAATGATAATCTGAAATATTGGTATGGGCTTCTAGGAAAAAGGAGACATAACTTCAAATTACAGGGTGGGAGGATAGTGATCATTTTCTTCCAGACACTGGAAGGACAAGTTTTTTGCCATGTTCTCAGTTACAGCATTCATAGCCTGTGGTATGAATGCCCAGAGCTGCCAGCCTTGTGTTGTGTTCTTCAAGTTTACCTTTAAGGCAGTGAACACTTGACAAGCATCTAATGGAAGCAGTGAGTAAAACAGACACTCAAAAATTATTACTTGTCATGCCATATAGCTTTAAACCTCTGGTTCATCAAGAAATAATAGTTCAGAAAAGAAAGGTTATGAATATCTGGAAGAAATAAAATGGACACTGAGATTTATTACTATCCCAGAGTTTTTACGTATGTTTGTAAATAAAATGCTCAAGATACCTACTCTAGTCCTGAGTTTGATTGCCTCAACACAGCCCATTTCCATGTTGCTTAACTCTGACCCTATAAGACACAAGGGCTGTTTACTGGAAATAACATTTGGTTTACGTTAAATCTCCCCAAAATGCCCATGATATGTCTGGAAAGATTGCAGCTGCCATGAACAATACCTGCATCAGGAACTGTGTCAAATACGCAAGAAAATGAGTGGTTGTAAGTTGATGGTCAGGCCTGTGCTCCAGAATTACCTGATATAATGAAGCCAGATGACAAACAGGAATGTGTACTCTCCTCTGTTATTAAGCCCTATAAGCTCCTGCCCAGCATGTGATGTTTCTCTGAATGCTACTTAGTCACTGGCCAAACTGAAAGGCCTTCAACAGCTACTTGCCAAAAATGAGGTGGCCAGGGACTGTTTTTCCATCTTTGGAACAAACAATCAGTTCGGAAAAGCTCTCTGAAGCAAATGCAAGCCAAAAACTGTAAAACTACCATGCATTTGCTATAGATGTATCTTGGTGCTTTCTTCTGACCAGTGCTTTGAGTCTGCTGCCACATTAAATGCAAGGATATTTTCAAAACGCTTCAAAAGCGGTGAAAAGGACCTCAAAAATCATCTAGTTTCAACCCATGGCAGGATCACTACCCACTAGACCAGGCTAATCAGGGCCACATCCAGTCTGGAATTGTGCAGGGATGGAGGTACGATCACCTGAAGTGAAATTTTTGTTATGTGAAATAGAATCACACTCTGGCAATAAAATAACCTGATTTCCTTCTAGGATTCTACACAGAAGAAAATAATGGTGTTATTTGATCTTCTTTCTGTGACTTATGTCTGAGTTCATGTGAAATTTTAGTTCTGAGATTCCTACTGACTTAGTAAAAGAGGGAGTGCACAAAGCAGAAGAGCCCTTCTTTCTATTCTCAGTTCTGTCACTAACTTTCTCCTTGGCCTTCAGCTTTCTTTTTCCTTCTGTCAGTCACGTTGTTTTGCAATTGAAGACAGCAACATTTTCCTTATTCAATAAGTCTGAATATTTGTAAGACATACAGAGTTTATAGTTATAGTGACCTTCATAGAAATAAATAAAAATACATAGATGAACTGATTTTTATTTTAGCTGCAGCAACTTTGCAATGATGCCAATCTCTTGATTTTAATTGAAATATATATGTCAACGGGGTTATGTATATGAGCTTTTGCAGCCAGATCTTAAGTGGTATATTTTTATAAGACAACAAGAAATGCCTACATGAAGAATTATCTCATGAAGTTCACATTTCTCTTGCTCTTCCTTATCATCTTGCTTGTGTTTTTCTTCCACACACAAAAATCTTCTATCTTGAAAAACTTAGAAGTATGACACTGGTACACCATAATCTGAAGACCAAGCAAGGAGTGGACTAGCTTAATGATTGATCATAAAACTGCTTTTGTAAGGAGGAACCGAATGCATCGTGTAACTCAGCAGTTACTGGCAAACAGCATGAAAAGAGATAAATTATTCCTTAGTTCCTTGCACATAGATAATTATCAGGCCATTTGGAAAGCACTTTTTTCAGTCCTTCATAAGACTTCCCTGGCTCCTGGAGCAGGAGAAGTTCCTCCATCCCAGCCACTGCTTACCTAGGAGCACTAGGTGCTTTGCCCATCTCTTTCCTGTAAAACTCCACGCAGGATTCCCAGCTTAGTCTCTTGTTTCTTGGTGACATCCATTCTAGGTAGAGGGTTTTCAGTGCAGCCATTTGCAACAGTGCACAGAAAAAAAAAAAAAAAAGAAAAAAAGAAAAAAAGCTTTATTTTCCCTGGGATAGCGTAAGTGCTGCAATCTAATAGGTATCCACGTGGGGTGATTCCCTCTTATTTTCTATCACATTTGACAGGAGAGAATCATGTTTTCCAAGGTATCTAATTGTGATACATACTTAGCAAAGGACTGAGCACAGCTACCTAATTGCCATCATGGAGAAACTGAAACTCCATTTTCTTATTTTGATAACTTTTCAAGCCATGTTGTTATTTTGCTTCTCATTCGCTATTTCAATAATGTCCAAAATACTCATCAACAACCTCTCAAAAAACTAACCACTACTTCTCTTGACAAGCAGTCAAGTAACAATTTAGTGATGACTTTGAAGAATGCTACGAGGGCTGCTCTGAAAGTAATGCCTCCTATTTTATTATGTTAGCCCATGGTGCTAGAGGTAATACGTGTTCTAAATATATGTTCTCAATAGCATTCCATTACATGTTGTTGCCATGTGACAGATTGCAGTAGAGAGGCAAGCTGGCACAATGGCATCTTACATGGAAATGCATATAAAGCAAAGGTACGTCACTGAATTCCTCCAGCTAGAAAAAGTACACCTACTGACATTCATCAACACTTGCTGAATGTTTTTGGAGATGTGAGCACAGCGAGGCAGAGAGTGGTGCATTTCAGCAGTGGTGATAGCTGTGTGAAAGATAAGACACATTTCAGGCATACATGCACAGCTGTCACACCATGGAATGGACAGCATCTCAATCAGCCACTCACACAAATCAGTTCATGGTGGTAACTATTGCAAAAAATAGCATTTTGTATCTGAGAATTTGCTCTGTCAAACAGTGTTATTGAGCAATTTGTACTCATTTTTTTCCCATGGAAAGAAATAAAAGGCATTAGTTTTGGAGCAACTTACGTAGTTAGAGTATATTTACAATGTCCCCTGCAACATGCAGAGCAGTGTGGAGGTGCTGAGCTGTTCCTGACCAAGCTTGTTGCTGCTTCATGTAGCTGATTAGATGATATCCTTCTGTCAGGATATCCCATGCAGAGAGTCAGTAGAACAAACTAATCTATTTACAACCAGACATCACTCAGGACCTATCTTAGATTTCCAGTTCAACTACTGTGTGGATTTCAAAAGCCCAAGGTAGTGTGCTATGCTACACTATCTTGCAAAGTTCTTTTGCCCACAGATTTGTTTAAATGCAAGAGTAGTATGAACCTTGCTCTTTACACTCTGAGCCACGGATGTTGGCATCATTTCATTTATATGTTGAAAAACAGGGTTACAATGTTTGCTGTCTAGGAAAAAAGTTTGCTTAACAATTTCTTTGCTTAACAAATAAATATTATTTGCTTTGATTAATATTTACCAGTGAACATCAACTTCATATTACTGAGCAAGACGGAGAATAGGGAAGTAGCACTGTGAATGAGAGGTCCAGCAGACTCTTTTTAAACTACACTGTAAGTACTGTATTATACTTCCTTAGAAGAATTTGAATTCATATTTTCTATGATCTCTGCAATTTAATACATGGTATTTAATTATGAGATGATTTTATTTAGTATAAGTAGTTGGAAATTTATCTTCTGGAAGCATGATCTATACACTGAAAGCAGTCAGTGATGCAGCTCTTAGATACTATGTCAGAATGACAGGGAGATGAGGTCCAAAGTGAATATTAGCTGCCATTGACACCAAGGTGAAACACCAAACCCTGCCTG